GGGGGGAAAAGACCCCCCGGGGTAAATGCATGCGGGTGAGAGCACGTGACCCCCCCCCCCATCAGGACGCAGCAGTGGTTCGCATTCATTTCACTGTGTTTCAGAGTTCAAGTGAAGCTCAGTCAGCTGGTCTCTGATAACAGAAGACAGTCAGTGAGCGACAACCTGCTGCCCATTAGACAGATGACTACACACAACAGCACAGTGACAAACACATCTACTGCCACATGGTCCAGTAGGTGGTTAGAACGTAACAAATAACTACATTCGGATGTTGATCCTTTGAAATAACCTCATCGGTTCAGAAAAGCGTGTGATGAAGAGGGAGGAGTTGATTTGACTCGGTCCTGCCGCGGCGGGGACTGAACCGGCTACCTTCAGGTCACAAGCTCGCTTCTCTAACCTTTGGGCCTGTTGGACTTTGGTGATCTCCAACAACCTGCAGAATTTCTCAGTGTGTAGTAGTAAGTGTAATATTTCAGACACAGAACGAGCACTTGCAGGAGAACCATCTGATTGGGCTGTACGGTGAAACAGGCGCTGCGTGTTGATGTGCAGCTCATTAATAATAGAGGCTGTGTAAAGTCAGGGATTAGAGTCTGGGTTCCTGAGGAGATGAATGGTTCTGCTCCTGAAGGGTCAGAAGGCTCGTCGCTAAGTATTCACAGAATAAATGAGGAGACACTGAGCTGAGGAGGAGGAGACGTCAAACATCTGGTCCAAGTGAAAGAGATGGGATCATTTTAACCAAACACACAGTGGCTCAACATTTCTCCTGCACTGCCGAAATAAACGGAGTAACCAGTAGAAGCTGTTGGGCCTTGACAGCACCAGTGGTGGTTTCTCTGTTTTATCACAAGAAACTGAATCTCTTCAGGGTTGGACGACATTGTATGGGTGAACCAAGACAATGCTACAGTAAGCGATGGTGACAGTACCTGTTGCACTGCTGATAATATACTGCATCCCCTGCTAATGTGTGCAGGATGTAGGTGAAGCGAGTTTCAGCTTTTTGATGTTTTTATTGGATGTTTCGTTCACATCCCACTGACCCCTTCTGTTTTCTGGTACACGTCTGGGATTGTGGAGCCCAAGGTATCAGAACAATGATCACGGGATGATATTTCTAATCGTGTGGTCCAAAAATGAAGCTGTATCGCTGTGTCTGTTCAGCCAAAGCGCCTGTGGTGGGGCTGCTGGACCCTGGTGTCGACTGTTCACCCCGTCCTCAGGACTCAGACACCACTTGTCACCTGTCTCAGTCACGGTTTGTGCTACACTGATTAGACATGAACTTATTTAGGTGATTCAGCTGGAGGAAGAGTTTTTATTTCAGTAAAGTGCTCCTCAGCACAACTTCAAAACAATTACTGGAAATAGGTAAAAGGTAATTAGTTTACTGTAAAGTGCTCCTCAGCACAACTTCAAAAGAATTACTGGAAATATGTCAAAGGTAATTAGTTTACTATGCAGCCAAAATGGCTGCTGTCAGTGTAAAACTATGACATACTGTAGGTGCTGTGACATGAACGCTGTACTTCAAGTATCATGTATGTCCTGTTTAAATCCGGTGGTGGAAAATAACTAAGTACACGTACAATCCTGCACTTTTTACTGCACTGCCTTTATCTCGGATAACACTAACATAAAGACACAAAGTCTGGTGTACTGACAGAGACAGTTTACTGCCTCTGCCACAGTAGTGCCATGTTTCATGTGTCTCTGAGCTGTTATCAGCTCGAGCAAAGACGTGCTTCTCCTCTGAACTCGTCACATTTCACGTCTCTGCCCAGAGGTCAAGCTCTGCAACAAGTCACTAAATCAAAGACGAGAGAAGAATCCACAAACTAAGCACAGTGAAGCAGAGCCACGTTTCCTCTTGTCCTCTCTGAAACATGTGACCAGCCATCAGGTTCACCTGGTGACCCCAGGGGCCCAGCCCCTAGACAGGGAACCCTCTGGGCTGAGCCAACTCCAGACCAGTTACACAGTAACATGCTGCTGGAGCTCTGGGTACTCAGGACCAGTAAGGTCAGCTATTACATCAGTCAGATTAAGACCAGTACTTTTACTGGTAATACTGGGAGTTACAGCTGATAAAACTTACTTAAAAGGGACTTTAAGTACAGGATTTTTCTTTGTTACAGAGTATTAATAAACTCTGGTACTGGTACTTTCTGAATAAGAGTACTTCTTCCACCACAGTTTAAATTCTTATTCAGATCTTCTGTAAAGTAACTCCAGCTGTCACATGCAGTAAAGTTGAAGTATAAATTAACATGAAATGGACATATTCAAGTTCAAGAACTGTCAGTTCACCACTTCAGTATTCTAAATGTACTTAGTTACTTTCCACCACTGATTTTGCTCCCACCTGTCAGTGGTGGGAGTAACTTTACCCCAGTACTCAAGTACAGTTTTAATGTATGTGAGCTTTACTTGTTTTATACTTCATGTATTCAGGGTAGGTCCACTCAGAGGCCACCTCTCTTTCAGGGACACTCTGTTCACATCCAGTTAGACATTCGCAGCTGGAAGCGGCCCAGTACAACCCCAGGCTGACCTGTGGCCACTGAGCACTGGGCTTAAAGGCCTTAGAGGCACCACAGTGCTTTGTCATCTGTCCCACCCAGAATTAATCCTGCCAGTCCAGGGATTGAACTGGTCACAAACTCACTTCTCTAACCTTTAGGCCACCCTACTTGACTATTTCCATGTCCTGCTGCTTCATACTGTGACTTCACTACCTGTCAGAGACAAACTTTTTACTTTACTTTTTACTGCACTACATGTACCTGATACCTTCAGGTCCAGAATCAGATGAATCAAACCAAACCCAGTAGAACCATCAGACTCTATTGATCCCAGTAGGAAATCCACCAGCTACCCAGCAGGATGGAAAGTACTTCCCAGTATAAGTATATAAGGTAGTTACCATCAGCTCCACCTTTACCAGCTGCAGCATTAAGGTGATGGACACAGTAATTAGTCACTATGATCCAGTATCAGAGACATTACTGGGACACGGGCCGTTCTGCAGGACCAGTACTGGTACCGTTGATACTTTAAGTATATTGAGATGCTGATACTTTTATTCTTTTGTCACATTGTGAATGCAGGGCTGTTACATGTAACACAGTATTTGTAAACAGTGTTATTCCTACTTTTACTCAAGACACAGTCTTGTGGTCAGTGTGAAAACGGACTCGGACGGTTCCAGCCCGTTTCTCCGGAGCAGCACACGGACCGTTGTGCGCACAAAGCCACAGCCGTCTGGTGTTTCTCCATCACACCGTGGCTACACAAACTGGCTGAAGCTTCCGTCAGACCTGCTGCCCCTCGTGAGCCCACAGTGAAGACAAAGCCCCGCACGGAGCGTGTTTGTCGCGAGCACCGTTTATGTCACAGCACCGATAGGAGGCCTCCATCCATCTGCTACAAACCGGTCGCTACCCCCCCACCCCCCTATTTGTTTGTTTGTTTGTTTGGCTCGCTGCCGCGTTTCCTGCTCTCTCCGGTCGCGCACGTCGCTTTTAACGTGGCCTGTCAGCCGGGCCCCGG